TAAAACATCACAGAATCTTGCATCACAAAAGTGTGATAAGAAACTAATATGCTTCCATACTCAAACTAGAGCTATTGTGGTGGGACAACAGGCTGGTGTGCTAAAGTCCTGTGTTGTTGATGTTAATGTGAACTGGCTGAGAGTGGTTAAGTTTGTTAGTTCACTGGCAGAGGAAAAGATGGATCCTCTAGAGATATCATTTACTATGCCGTATAGAGTCTATAATTACATGTTGATAAAGATTGTCTTCCCTCTCATGAAAACCAGAAACCAGAATAAAAACCACTTCCATCTTCTAAACATTCTGCACACAGTAATCTGTTGTCTCTGTCACCACATCTTGATTCCATTAGTAGTTATGGAACTCATAAATATGGTTATTAATGTGCCATGCTCTGGTATGATATATCCCTGAACAGCTAGAAATAGAGTCACCTTGAGTTATTGTAATCTAATGTTTGTAACTCACATTAGATTGTAAGGGAATTAAAACACAGATTATTTTTTCTTTTTTAAAAAAGACATATAAAAACTTAGAATATCTGACTTCTTTTCTTAACAACAGCATTGTTCTGTTCTTGCATATTTTCTTGGTTCAGCAAAAGATGCTCAAGTTATCCCTGGCAGAAAATCTCTCCACACTTGGTGGCCTCACTCCTCCATCTTGAGACAAAAACCCACCAGGAGCCTAATGAGATCATTCGGAGGCATGGAGTGCAGTGTCATCAGTACGCTTATGACACCCAGATATACTTCTCCATGACAGATCATCGGCTCAGACTTCAGATGACGTCTCTCCTCTCAATGACTGTCTCAGAGCGGTAATGGATTGGATGAGGAAAAACAGATTGAAGCTGAATCCAGACAAAATGGAGGTACTGACAGTCACAGGACCAAAACCAGATTTGGGAATACAGTCTCCAATCCTGGATGGAGTCACGCTTTCCTGTAAGGACTGTGGGGGGTTGCAGACTGCCAGAAATAGTGCAAATTGAGTCCATTTTTAGGGTTAGGGTTAGGGTTAGAGAATCATGGGAACTGTAGTTTATTGTAGCACCAGAGCTCTCTGACAGAGAAGGCTCAATGTCTCAGAAAAAAACCAATTACCATGATTCCCTAGCACTAACCCTAACCCTTAAAGTGGACTCAATTTGCACTATTTCTGGCAGTCTGCAACCCCCCTGTGTTCGCAGTTTGGGGGTACTCCTAGATTTGTCATTTCACGTGACTAGTCAGGTAAATGCGGCAGTTAGGAGTGCCTGTTATCAGCTTCGGCTGATATGCCAACTGTGCCCTTATCTGGATATGAGGGATCTGGAAACTGTGGTACATGCTCTGGTAACCTCACATCTGGATTACTGCAATGCACTCTACATAGGCCTACCCTTGTGCCTAACCCAGAAACTGCAACTGGTACAAAACATGGCAACCAGGTTAATTACTGGAACATCTAGGAGGGAGCATATAACACCTGTGCTTAAATCCCTCCACTGGCTGCCGATTAGTTTCTGGGCACAGTACAAGGTGTTGGTTTTAACCTTTAAAGCCCTATATGGCTTGGGTCCATCTTATCTCAGGGACGGACTCTTCCTGTATGACCCCCCACGCGCCCTTAGATCCTCTGGAAGGAGCCTGCTGCAGCCCATGAAGACCAGGCTGTTACAGACATCCCAGAGGGCCTTCTTTGTGACCACTCCCAGACTTTGGAATGACCTGCCAGACAAGATCCATCTTATTACCACTCTTGCTGCTTTTAAGAAAGCAGTAAAGATGGATCTTTTCCAGCAGGCCTTCCCAGAATAACGTCCTGGCAATGGCAGAGGTTTGCTTCCCGCCCCCCAATCTGCCACTGTTTTTATACTGTCCAACAAATAATTTTATTTGTATTTATGTTTAAATTCATTTTAATTCTTTCTTGGTTTAATCTAATTTTAAGGAGTGGGAGGGTTAGGGTGTGGGATTTGAGAATGTTTTAAATTGCTTACTGTTTTTATAAGGTTGTACACCGCCCCGATTGCTGAGCAGAGGGGCGGGTTAAAGATAAAACTTATTATTATTATTATTATTATTATTATTATTATTATTATTATTATTATTATTAACAATGCCACCTGACATTTAAAAGGGGAAAGATCAATATCTTGGTATTATCAGTAACAGCTGTTCACTATTCATCACAAAAAGTTTGACTGAATTAGTAACATGTGCAACACAGAACTAATTAGAAATGTTCATTCTCTGTAAAATCCTGGTAATTAGTGACATGAGGGTTACTAATTTAATTGGCAGGATTGTATTCAGCAGAGAGGATTGACAGATCTTATTTGAGAGGTTTAATTACATGGAAAATCCAGGTACTTTGATGAATGGATTGTGTTACTCTACTTATATATATTTCTATGCAATGCATAATTTATTTATATTGATGTGTAAACATATTTTCCTTATCATAGGCCCTTAGAAAAGGCTTCACTGATAAATTCAATCATGATTCCACCTGATTTTCAGGAGGCTAGCAAAAAGATGACTGATTGCTACTCTAAGGAAAAAGAAAGAAAATTAACAATGAGATGCAGAAAAGTCTAGATTTGGGCACCTGGGCATTGCCAAACAAGAGAAATAGAGCACTAAAAAAAGACAGAGAGAGAGAGAGAGAGAGAGAGAGAGAGAGAGCACAGGAGAAAACAGATGAGATGGTTTACATTTTTGAATTCTAATTTATAGATGTAAATTTAGAAATTATTACTATAATGGAAAGAAAATCATCTCATTATCTATAATGCTTGGGTGACTTGTATGTCTGCTTGCTGTCCATGTGCTAAGTGTTGATGGACAACTGCAGGAACCACACTCTCCCTTCTTATGTTTCTTTATCTTTAAACTAGAAATAAGAACAGATGAGACCAATATTCTGTTTCAATTGTAGCTGATCAGGTAACCATGGGAAGCCCATGAGCAGGACAGGACCACAGTAGCACCCTTTACCATAGTTTATGTACCCCAACAACTGGTGTTCAGATTGTCTGAATGACTGTGGGCCTTTGCAGATTGCTAGAAATAGTGCAAATTGAGTCCACTTTAACTGCCCTGGCTCAGTGCTAAGAAATCATGGGAATTGTATTTTTTTCTGAGACATTGAGCCTTCTCTGTCAGAGAGCTCTGGTGCCACAATAACCAACAGTTCTCATGATTCCCTAGCACTGAGCCAGGGGTGTCTGAAAGTGGATTATTTCTTCAGTATGTTTTTGACCCTAGAGGGTCTTCTTGATGGCTGCTCATGGGTATAGAACTTCCTTCTATAAAAAACTAGGCTGGTATCCTGTTTGATGTCTTTCCATGGGCAAGCAAAGGGGTGTTTTTGTTGTTTGTTTTTTTACAATTTTTGGACACACTTTTAGCTATTAACTAGTTGCTGCAGAAGGATCTTTTAATGGATGATGCTCTATGTTTATCATCATGATTATGTTTTAAATACTTTTAAAACATTTATATGTTTTATGTATATTTATATATGTGTGTGTTTTTTTAAAAATCTATTTCATATTTTAATCTTTTAGCTGCCTTGAATCTTATATTGGAGAAAGACAGAATGTTAAATAAATACTTGGATGCATACTGCTTCTGGTGCTAGAGGAAACATAGCAATCATCAATATAGCCCCTTTAAATACTGTCCAGGTTGTTGTCCATCAATATATTTTGAAGAAGTAAATTCCATAGTTTAATTCTACACTGTAGGAAGACCCTTTTATCTGTTCTAGTTTCTCATAACTCTAGTTTCTCATAAGATGGGATAGGCCCTATACTTGTTCCTATCCACTTTTTGTTCACAACACACATCATTTTACACACCATTGTCAATTCTTTTCACTCCCCCACCATTCACTCTTCTTTAAGCTGAAGGGTCCAAAATATAACCTTTCCTTATACATGATCTGTCCAATTCTGCACATTGTTCAGTTATGCTAATATCCTTTCTGAGATGTACTGAAGACAACTGTACATAATATTCCAAATGCAGTTATACCATAGATCTGTATAAAGCAATTTGTTGTTTGGTGTTGTGTGCCTCCAAGTAAATTTATTTATGGTGACCCTGAGGAGAACCTTCCAAGTGTTCGGAAGAGGCATCGAATGTATGCCCAAGGCCTCTTGCAGCGCACTTTCAGCGTCTTGCGGAAGGAGTGGCTCAACTGGTTAAGATGCTGACTCTGTTGATTGCAAGATTGGCAGGTTGGCAGTTCAAGGCAGTTCAAGACTTAGGGCCTAAGCAGACGGTGCTTTGCGCCATCTTCAAGGCAAGGAAGGGGAGGGGCAGCCTCACTCTGGGCACCCCAACCCCTTCCAGAACACGTCATTGGAGCGCCCGTTGCTCCACACGACTGGCGCTCTGATGACGTACTTCCGCCGCAGCATCCGCACACCCTGTGGCAGAAGAGGCACCAAAGGTGCACCCAAGGCCTCTTGCAGCACACCTTCAGCATCTTGTGGAAGGAGCACTATTTTAGCACTCCTTCCAGGGCCTAAGAAGCTGTGGGTTGGGGCCGAGGAGTGCGGCTACCTCGGCCCCAATCCACAGCTTCCCGGGGCGACCCACGGCCACCCGTCTGCTTAGGCTGTTAGTTGCTGCATGATGGAGTGAGCTTCTGTCACTAGTCCCAGCTTCTGCCAACCGAGCAGTTCAAAAGCATGCAAATACAAGTAGATAAATAAATACCACTTCTCAGTAGGAAGGTAAACAGCGTTCTGTGCAATCATGCAGGCCACATGATCATAGAGTAGTCTCTGACAATGCTGGTTCTTCAGCTTAATAATGGAGATGAGCACCACCCCCTATGGTTGGACATGACATGACAACCTTGTCAATGGGAAATACCTTTAACTTTTAAGGAGAACCTATCATAGGGTTCTCTTGGCAGTTTCTTCAGAGAGGGTTTACCATTGCCATCCTCTGAGGCTGAGAAAGTGTGACCTGCCCAAGGTCACTCAGTGGGTTTTATGCTTCAGCAGGGAGTTGAACCCTGATCTCCATCCAGAGTTGTAGTCCAATGCTCAAACCACTACACCATGCTGATTCTCATAGAGATAGTATGATACTACCAATTTTAGTTTCAGTTACTTTTTCTCACTATGCCCCAAACTTCATACCAGCTCATTATTTTCATCATGTAACCCACCACAATCCCATCAGAGTTAAATTCTTTCAAGTTTGCTAAATGTTTTTCCAGTGTACATAAAATGAAAGCATTAATGAAATTGTGTGATTCATTGAAGGTCACATGATGAGCATGTGCAGTTGGCCTTCCATATCTACAGATTCTGTATCCATGGATTCAACCATCCACAGCTTGAAAATATAAAAAAAAATATCAATTTTAAAAAGCAATCTTTGTTTTTGTCATTTTACATTTACATTTTACATTTTACATAAGGGACACAATGTCATTATGTCATAGTATTTAATGGTACTTGAGCATCCATGGATTTTGGTATCCATTGGGTGGTGAGTTTCTTTCCACAGATGTAATATGTCTCTGAAGTTAAGTAAGGTCAGCCTTGGGGAGACCTTGTAGCACCTTTGAGACTTGGGGCCAAAACACATTGCAGAAATAATCCAGTTTGACACTACTTTAACTATCATGGCTCATTGCTATGCACTTTTGTGAACTGTAGTTTGTTGTGGCACCAGAACTCTCTAATAGGGAAGGCTAAATATCTCACAAAACTACAAATCCCAGAATTCCATAGTATTGACACATGACAGTTAAAGTGGTGTCAAACTGGATTATTTCTGCAGTGTGGATGCAGCCTAACTAGTAGGGCCACTGCACAGAGAAAATATGAAAGAAATAGTAGGGCCATTGCACAGAGAAGATGAAGAAATTCTAACAGGGGACAGAGAAGAGGCAGAAATACTCAACACCTTCTTTGTCTCAGTCTACTCACAAAAGGAAAAGGATGTTTAACCTGAGGAAAATGGAGCAGAGGACACAATAGGGGAAATGCAGCATAAAGTAAGCAAAGAGGAAGTACAGGAATACCTGGTTAACATGAATTTTAAGTCTCCAGGACCAGATGAACTACATCCAAGGATATTAAAAGAACTGGCAAATATATCTCAGAGCTACTGACAATAATCTTTGAGAACTCCTGGAGAACAAGAGAAGTCCCAGCAGACTGAAGGAGGGCAAACATTGTCCCCATCTTCAAAAAGGGGAAAAAAGAGGATCCCAACAACTATCGCCCAGTTAGTCTGACATCAATACCGGGAAAGATTCTAGAACAGTTCATTAAACAGAGAATCTGTGAACATTTAGAAGGGAATGCCATAATCACTAAAGGTCAACATAGGTTTCTCAGAAACAAGTCATGCCAGACTAATCTGATCTTTTTAATATATATATATATAAAATTATCAGCTTGCTAGATAAATGGAATATGGTAGACATAGCATATCTTGATTTCAGTAAGGCTTTTGAAAAGGTCCCCCGTGATATTCTTGCAAACAAGATACCGTTAGTAAAATGTGGGCTAGACAATACAACTGTTAGGTGGCTTAGTAACT